GATGTGCAACGATTCTGTTACACGTAACACGCAAATGGCTTTCTCTCATTCTTTCGTTTACTTCTTGTTGTGTGTAGGCAAAACATCAAGACTAAAATCACCAAACCTACTTGGCATTTTATAAATTTAGCATGCTCTTCAGACCTCCCATGAGAGCAATTCTTGCAGTCAGCAAAGCTGAGGTTTCAACTAAATGAAAACAGTAGAAATGATCGTCTAAGATATTTTAACATTTCAGTGGAAGTTTGTCATTGTTAAAATTCTTGAACGTCGTTAGTACTTAATAAAATACTAAAAATTTCTCAATGTCTTAATTTAAAATGGACACTTCTCTCGATACACATTCTTGGTTTTAGCACGTTGTGTACATAGTCTGTCCTTTTTTATTTGAAAATGGAGAAACAAAATGTCATATATCTCCCCCATCTCTATTGGTTTTTTAAAAATAAAAGTATAAATGATTTACAATATTGTGTTAGTTTCAGGTGTATAGTGCAGTGATTCAGTTTTGGATTTTTTTTTCAGATTATATTCCAGTATATGTTATTACAAGATATTGGGTATAATTCCCTGTGCTAAACATTAAATCCTTATTGCTTATCTATTTTATGTATAGTAATTTGTATCTGTTGCTCCGACTCCTAATTTGTCCCTCCCCCTCTCCCTCTCCTCTTTGGTAACCGTAAGTTTGTTTTTTACTTGAGTCTGTATATATAGATTCATTTGTATTATTTTTTTAGATTCTACATATAAGTGACATCATACAGTATTTGTCTTTCTCTGTTTGACTTATTTCACTAAGCATAATATTCTCTAGGTCCATCCATGTTGCTGCAAATGGCAATATTTCATCCTTTTTTTCTATGGCTGAGTAATATTCCTGTGTGTGTGTGTGTGTGAGTGTGTGTGTGTGTATCACATCTTCTTTATCCATTCAACTGTCGATGGGCACTTGGGTTATTTCCATATTAGCTTTTTAACTAGATTACAATGAAAACATAAATCATCATTCTCTTTTCCAAAATCTCAGGTTGTTCAGTTCAGCCTCTTTGATTCTTTATCTAGCCAGACAACACTCCTTCTGACTTTTCCCTTTGTTTTGCTAATTATGGTGGGAAAAGAGGGGAGGAGTGTCCTGAATCTCAAAGTGGATGAGAGTAATAGTTTTTAACTCATTGACATATCACTTCTCCTTATTCTTTTAAACTGGTGTGATTTTTTCTTAACGTTTTCTATTCCTCTCTTTCAAGGAGTTAATTATTTCTCTAATGAATTTTATAAAGTGAGTTCTAATATTTTTTAATGTATTGAGTTCTTCCTATGTGCCAGGAACTAGGGACACAGAGATAAACAAGGCATGTCTTTGCTTCTAAGTTCAGAGAACAGGCAGGCGGTACAGATGCTGTGATCAACAGAATAATGGATGCAACAGTGTCCATTCCCTAATCCCCAGAAACTTACATAGGAAAAGGGCTTTGTAGATGTGATTAAGGTTAAGGACCTTGAGATGGGGAGGTTAGTCTGGATTGTCTAGGTGGGCCTTATCAAATCACACTAGTCCTTAAAAGCAGAGACCCTTTCCCAGCTATAATCAGAGCACCAGAGAGATGGTAGCATGAGAAGAATCCAACCAGCTGTTGCTGGCTTTGAAGGTAGAGGAAGGGACCATGAACCAAAGAATGAATGTGGGTAGCCTCTAAAAGTTGGGAAAGGTAAGGAAATGGATTCTTCCCTAGATCCTCCAGAAGAAACACAGCCCCACTGACACCTTGATTTTAGCCCAGTTCTCGAGACCTGCATCAGACTTTTGACCTCCAGAACTGATAATACATTTGTGTTTTTTAAGCTGCTGAACCTGTGGCAATTTGTTAAAGCAGCAAATCAAAACTAACACAGATGCTCTCCACTAAGTGCAAGGCAGCTTAGACTGTGATCAGGGTAGAATGGAGGCATTAGGGCAAGTGCTTTGTGTCCTCAGAGTTGAGCATGGCCCAACTGAGAGAGAGATGAGGAAGTACCACAAAGGAGGAGGCCTGCAAGTTGTCCTTGGAGTATTAGGATTTGGTCAGTCACATGAAGGAAGAGGAGAACATTTCAGACAAAGAGATGAACACCCAAGTCAACATTACAATATGTTTGCATATCAATTTTCTATATGGGAAAAATTGTGAAAAGCTTGAAAAACAAACATAAGTACTTCTGCTGTTTGCAAAATGGCAGGCTAGATACTCTGAAGGGTCTTTCTGCTTTCCAACAACCATATGGTGACAATACAGGCTTTTCAATGCATTGCTGGTCTTCCAGGAGATAAGAAAATACCCAAAACCCTCCATCCCACAACAACAAAAAATGGGGTAGTGGCCATCTATGTAGCTCAGACCCACTTTTATGCTGAGACAACTAAAAAAGATGAAGAAAACACAGTCACCTGGAAATCACCAACATGCTAATAGGCTCATCGGAATTACCAGGCATGAAGATGGGAAGCTAGAGAGGTACACCCAGCACCCAGAGCAGGTTTTGTCCTGGGTGAGTTTCCTGCCCAAGAAAGGTGGCTGAAAGTCTGAGCAGCATAAACAAGGAAAAAAGGTGCTAGCCACAAAAAAAAAAAAAAGATGGGTAAATTTGCATTAAAATTGAGAACTTCTGTTCACTAAAAAAAGAAAAGAAAAGAGTAAAGTAAAAAGGCAAGCCACAAAGATATTAGCAACTCAAATAATGAGCAAAGAATTCAAATTCAGGATATATAAGGAACTCCAGAAATTCAATAAGCAAAGGCAAACAATCCAATAGGAAAATCTCCCCCAATTATAAACACACACTTCACAGAAGCAACAGCACAGATGGTAAATAAATATGGTCAGATGCTACCAGAGAAAGGCAAATTGAAACAAGATACCATTTCACATCCATGATTAACAAAATGAAGAAGTCTGACAATTTTGTGTTAAAAAGAATGTCAAGCAATGGGAACGCTTATACAACAACTGGTGCGAATTTATAATGAACTGGTTCAAACACTGTGAAAAAATTTGGTATGATGTACTATTTTTGACTGTTTACATATCCTGCAACCCACCAATTCCACTTTTGGGTATATAGCCTAGAAAACCACTGGTACACGAGCACCCAAAGACACACGTAAGAGCATTCATAGCAAAGCTGATGAAAAATGTTAATTAGAAACAATTTAGCATAGACAAGGTAATGGTTGAATATGTTGTGATATGTTCATACCAGTATTATACAACTGTGAAAGTGAACAAGTATGAATTATAATGTAATAATATATCAAGTGAAAAAGAATTACATGTCATGAAACCAATTTTTTAAAGCTCAAAAAAACCTAAATAATAAATTATTTAGGAATACATTTAGATATGGTAAAACAGGGATTAATTATAATATTGAATGAAAGTAGCAAGTTGCAGAAGACCAGAGTATGACACCATTTTTATAAAGTTCTAAAATAAGAGAGACTATGTATTATTTAGAGATACATAGAGATTTATGTGGTTTCACATGTAAAATTACATATAAAAACCAATAACAAATTGAAATGGTAAGACCAAAATTCAAGATGGGTTATTCTGGCAGAAAGCAGGGGGTTGGGATGATGGAGGGGCTCACAGGAAGTTTCAACAGAGTTGCTTATGTTTGGTTCATTCTCTGTGTGATGTGTTCACTGGTGTCCATCATGGTATCATGTTTTTTAATTTACAAGTATATTGCGTATATTATTTTGTAGTATCAAATACTACATAATAAAAATTTAAGCTATACAAAATTATTTTTGCTAAGATGGCTGTTATTCCAGTTCCTCCTTCTTTGGGTGCACTTTTGTGTACCCCCAAACTCAAATGAGGGTCACAGGCGTGAAAGAAGAGGAAAGCTTGTTGTGAGATGATATATACCAATGCTGCCTGAGTTCAGCTCAGAACTAGTGATCTTCCCAAACGGGATTTCATAAAATGACAGAGCCAGTTCTCTACTACTCTGTTGGGTTATATTTCAATTTGGTGGCTCATTTTTTTTTTAGTGTACACTGTATGTTTAAAACACTCTGCTCAGGAGTTCATGTGGGCTTCAAGTGGTCCTCGGCCATCAAATGTCTTCCCATCCCAACCCACTAAAATTCGAAGTTGCTTTTACACATTTTAAAGGAAGGGTAGAAATTGTTCCTTGGTCTAAATTACAATTTTTGTTTTAAATATGTAGCTTAAACATACAATAAAGGCTTTTCTTCCAAATATGTTGGAAGAGTGGGGAATGACAATTGTTAATAAATCTGAGTTGCAATTTTAATTCAGATTAGTTTCTTAATCATTTTCAGGGCAAATGAGGCAAAGATCTAACTACCCTCACCAACCCCACTCCTATCCCACGGCCGCTCATCTCTCAGAACCACTCCATCTTGCTGGGTTTCCCTCAGGCAGGATATTTTTCTTACCTCACCACCATCTCTGCACAAACATACTCCCATCACTTCTAATGTCCATACCCAGTTCCTTCCCCACCAGCTACCTTTTGCTACAGGCAGGGCTTTTAGGGGTTTGGGGGACTGAGACAGGTGTGAGGGATTGGGGGAGCCAGGGGGAGTGGGGGTGTTCTGGGGCAGGGGTTTCATCCGACATAATACATGCAAAGGAATTAATGGCAATCAGAACAACATTGCAGGTTGTGAAATAGACAGAACATGTGTGTTGAAGTTACACAGTTCTGGGTCAGACCCCCCATCTCTTCCACTTTTTAGTTTGGTGACGTTTGAGAAGTTCCTAAACTTCTCAGAGCCTCAGTGTCTACATCTGTAAAAATAGTTAATAATACCTACATCCTAGGGTGGTTGTAAGGATTTGACTATGTTTATAAATTGTCAGTGTTCAGTATACACTCATATATGGTGTTTTATTTGTATTGGGTGAATATTGAAATTATAGAGCTTCTTTCTAGGCTTGTAGATAGAGACATAGATTTGACTCAGTACAGGGTGATTTACTTGCTCACCCTTGAATGCAGATTTCTTCACATTCCTTTTCACTGTTGAATCTATTTCATGAGCCTTTACAGCCACTGAACCAAAAGCGAGCACAGGAGTTGACCTGTTTGTCATAATACCATCGAACCACATATTCGGTACAGTTTCCTGGCTGTAGAGTTCCAAATATCTAGGATCTAGAGTGAGAAAAGGATAGCATGTTATTATAAGTTTTTCTTTCACTGAAAAGTAAAAGCTTTAGGAAGCTTATTCTCCATGCACACTAACACACCAACTGAAAAAGTATGGTTCTAAGTTAAGGACGGGTTCCTGAATACCTGACATATTTCCGCTACCACCTGAAACTCCACCATTAGATAGTCATTCCTTTGAAAACATAAAAGTTTTTGAACTTCATGAAACCCCATTAAAATGCATATTTTCCTGACAATATTGTGAGCCTTGATTGGCTAATACTCTTGTGAGGATTAGTTGACAGGAGAGAGATAGGACTTCTTCATTTACTTTGGACTTGATTTGAAATCAAATTAGCACTTGGAATGAAGATGACTTTGGCCTTCCATACACATTCCCTCCAAGTTTGTTCATAGAAAGCACCACTATGATCACATGTGATTGTGCTTACTAAAGGAGGAAAATCCTTTTAAGTTACAAAAAAATGTAAAATAAAGGACTCTCTTCTTTTTTTAATTGAAGTATAGTTGATTTACAATATTATATTAGTTTCAGGTGTACAGCATACTGATTCAGTATTTTTGCCGATTGTACTCCATTATAAGTTATTACAAGATAATGGCTGTAATTCCCTGTGCTATACAGTATACCCCTGTTGCTTATCAATTTTATACATAGTCGTTTGTATCTGTTAATCCCACACTCCTAATTTGTCCCTCCTCCCTTCCTTCTCCCGTTTGGTAACTGCAAATTTGTTTTCTATATCTGTGACTCTGTTTCTGTTTTGCATATATCAATACATACATTTGTATTATTTTGTAGAGTCCACAGATAAGTGATATCATACAGTATTTGTCTTTCTTTGAATTACTTCACTAAGCATAGTATTCTCTAGGTCCATCCATGTTGCTGCAAATGGCAGAATTTTGTTCTTTTTTATGGCTGAGTAGTATCCACTGTATACGTAGACCACATCTTCTTGATCCAATCACCTGTTGATGGGTTGCTTCTATGTCTTGGCTATTGTAAACAGTACTGCTATGAACATTGAGGTGCATGTATCTTTTCTAATTAATGTTTCTGTTTTTTCCAGACATATACCCAGGAGTAGAATTGCTGGGTCATATGGTAGTTCTATTTTTAGTTTTTTCAGGAACCTCTATACTGTTTTCCATAGTGGCTGCATACTGAGTTGTATGAGCTGTTTTATATTTTGGAATATTAATCTGTTGTCAGTGGCATCATTTGCAAATATTTTCTCCCATTCTGTAGGTTGTCTTTTCATTTTGTCTAAGGTTTTATTTGCAGTGTAAAAGCTTTTAAGTTTAATTAGGTCCCATGTGTTTATTTTTGCTCTCATTTCTTTTGCCTTAGGAGACTGATCCAAGAAAACATTGCTACTATTTATATCAAAGAATGTTCTGCCTACGTTCTATTCTAGGAGTTTTATGGTTTCAGGTCTTACATTTAGTTATTTAACTATTTTGAGTTTATCTTTTTACATGGTGTGAGGAAATGTTCTAATCTCATTGTTTTACATGTGGCTGTCCATTTTTCCCAGTACCACTTGTTGAAGAGACTGTCTTTTCTCCATTGTGTTTCTTGTCTTCTTTGTCATAGATTAATTGATTGTAGGTGTGTGGGTTTATTTCTGGGTGCTCTATTCTCTTCCATTGATCTATATGTCTATTTTTGTGCCAGTACCACACTGTTATGATTACTGTAGCTTTGTAGTATAGTTGAAGTCTGAGAGGGTTGTACTTCCAGCTTTGTTCTTTTTTCTCAAGATTGCTTTGGCAATTTGGGGTCTTTGTGGTTACATATGAATTTTAGGATTATTTGTTCTAGTTCTGTGAAAAATATCATGAGTATTTTGATAGGGATTGAATTAAATCTGTAGATTGCTTTGGGTACCATGGCCATTTTAACAATATTAATTCTTCCAATACAAGAACAAAAGATATCTTTCCATTTCTTTGTATCATCTTCAATTTCCTTCATCTGTGTTTTATAGTTTTTAGAGTATAGGTCTTTCACATCCTTGGTTAAGTTTATTCCTAGGTACTGTAATATTTTTGATGCGATTTTAAACAAGATTTTTTTTTTACTTTCAATTCTGATATTTCATTATTAGTGTATAGACTCACAACAGATTTCCATATATTAATCTTGTATCCTGTAACCTTGCTGGAAGTATTTATTAGTTCTAATAGTTTTTGTGTGGAGACTTTAGGGTTCTCTATATAGAGTATCATGTCATCTGCAAATACTGACAGTTTTACTTCTTCCCTTCCAACTGGATACCCTTATTTCTTTTTCTTGCCTGATTGCTGTGGCTAGGACTTCCAATACTATGTTAAATAGAAGCAGTGAGAGTGGGCATCCTTGTTTGTTCCTGAATTTAGTGGAAAGGCTTCCATATTTTCACCACTGAGTATGTGGGTTTGTCATAAATGGCCATTTTATTCTTTGTTTTCCAGTTGTGGTTATAGTTCTTCTCTGATCATTTATTCTTATTTGTGTTTCTCCCATTGTGGTTTGATGATTTTCTTTTGTAGTATGCTTGGGTTCCTTTATCTCAACATTTCTTTTAGGGTAGGTTTAGTATTGCTTAATCTTTTAGTTTTTGCTTGTCTGAGAAATTCTTTATCTCTCCTTCTACTCTAAATGATAATCTTGCTGGGTAGAGTATCCTAGGTTGTGAGTTTTCCCTTTCAGCAGTCTGAATATACCATGTCACTCACTTCTGGCCTGCTAACTTTCTGCAGAGAAATCAGCTGATAGCCTTATGGGGATTCCCTTATACAGGACTCTCTGTTTTTTTCTCTTTCTGCCTTTAGAATTCTCTCTTTAACTTTTGCTATTTTAATTATATGTCTTGGTGTGGGTCTGTTGGGGTTCATCTCATTTGGGACCCTCTATGCTTTCTGTACCGGATATCTGTTTCCTTCTTCAGATTTGGGAAGTTTTCAGCAATAATCTCATCAAATGCATTTTTGATCCCCTTCTCTCTGTCTTCTCCTTTTGATACAAATGTAGGCATGTTTGAAGTTATCCCAGAGATCTTGCATGTTGCACTTGTTTTTGTTTGTTTTGTTTTTTGTCATTCTATTGTTCTGATTGAGTGATTTCCATTCTTCTATCTTCCAGATCACTTATGTATCCTTCTGTGTCATTTATTCTGCTATTCATTGCTTCTGGAGTATTCTTTATCCCAGATACTGAATTATCTATGTTTGATTGGGTTTTTCTATTTTCTAGTTCCTTATTAAAATGATCTGTGTTTAGATCATTTCTCTTCCCAATTCAATTAGCATTTTTATTACCAATGATTTGAATTCTTTATCTGGTAAGTTGCTTATTTCTGTTTCATTGTTTTTTCATGGGTTTTCTCTTTGCTCTTTCAGTTGAGAGTAGTTCCTCTGCCTTTTCATTTCACTTAAGTTTCTCTGTGTCTATGAACCTAGATGAAACAGTTAGCTATTTTGGTTTTGAAGGGGTGTTCTTATGTGGGAGTGTCCCTATGCTGTGTGCATGTGCCCACTGCCTTTGGTGGGAGAGCTGGATTTGATGTGGATGCCAGCCATGTCTTTCCTCAGGGTGAGCTGGCAGCTGTCACCTTGGTAGGGGATTGGGCTGGAGGTGGAGGAGCTAGAGCTGGAGCTGTGTGTGAGGCAGGACATCCTCTCTGCTCAGTAGTTGTCACCGCCCTTGGGTCTGCTCCCAAGTTGCTGGAGTGGAAGCCCCGAGGGTCAGGCTTGAGCTGACTCTTCTCCCTTAAAATGTGTGTTTTTCCTTCTCTTCATTCTGGGATCTTTGCTCCAAAAGGAGGGGAGTGGCAAGTAGGGCTCATGGGCTTACAGAGTTTGGCTCAGCTGTACCCCATGATCCTGTCTTTTCACTTGTGGCCACCCCAGATCTAGTGCTAGGCTGTAGCATGGAGTGAGTGGGACCAGAATGTTCCTTTGGCTTGGGCTGGGGCATGTAGCAAGGTGGTCCTGGGCAGCTTCTGGGGTGCCACTTGAATACGTGCCAACAATGGCTGCCTCCATGAAGGGCTCTCTTTATATCACAATTTTCTTTCAAAAAGATCAGCTTTTTAAAAAATAAATTTATTTATTTTATTTATTTACTTTTGGCTGCTTTGGTTCTTTGTTGCTGTGTGCGGCTTTCTCTAGTTGCAGCGAGTGGGGGCTACTCTTCATTGCAGTGCCTGGGCTTCTCATTGCGGTGGCTTCTTTTGTTGCAGAGCATGGGCTCTAGGTGCATGGGCTTCAGTAGTTGTGGCACGTGGGCTCAGTAGTTGTGGCTCAGAGCTCTAGAGCACAGGCTCAGTAGTTGTGGTGCCCGGGCTTAGTTGCTCCGCAGCGTGTGGGATCTTCCCGGACCAGGGCTTGAACCCGTGTCCCCTGCATTGGCAGGCGGATTCTTAACCACTGCTCCACCAGGGAAGCCCAAAAGATCAGCTTTTACAGGACAACAAAAACATGACCTTCTAATGTCAGTTTACAAATAAGTTTCAGAAACACTTCCACTATCCAAAAAAATAAAAAATAAAGCTAATTAGAGTTACAACAATAAAGCTATTTATTAAATCCCTTTTTATTTCATGTTTGTCCTTAGTGCCTTGATTATTCTTACTGAGGAACTTATACCAAGGTGAGAAAATTCCTGAAAAAGACCAAATAGATACTTGATGCCTGACACTTGTGTTCTGTGTGACAGTTTAAATGTCGTAAGCTTCATTTCTTAATAGCAAAATAAGCCCTTTCTCCATCTGCCATAATCATTTCCCCAGATTTGGAGTATGTTTAAATTCACTTATTTGCTAAAACTGACCTCTAAATTTACCTTTTCGGCCAAATAGAAGGGAGCAAGTGGATTCTCACTACCTCCACTCTTTAAAAGCAATAACTGAATAATGTATATTGTTGTCAAGCCAATCTAAGCTGCTTTTGGACAAGGATGTTGTCTCTCTTGCATGTTCTTCACAAATGTGTATGTAATGATTAATTTCTGTAGACATTAACTGCATAGAAAATATGCTGATGAATTGGAATCTAGATTCTAGCTTCTTTTTGTTTCTTCCAACCAGAGGTCAAAAATTCAAATGTCTACATGTGTGAAGGCTTCATGTAAGACAGTAGGGAGTGGTAAGAGCTACTGCAAACATGAGAGCAATATCCTCTCTAAAGGCTTTCAAATTTTAAAATAACAATAAACACTTATAAGAGCGTTAAATTTTTTGATTGACCAAATTTGTTCCAACAACCAGCCAGTTTTCTAATTCTATATATAATAAAATGAAAAGCGTCTTTTGTCCTCCCTGTTTAGAGTCAAAACATGTTCTCTCTGGATGAGATTTTAGAGACCATCCTTTCTGTGCCTTCTTGATATTATAGATACAACAGCTGATGGGCAGAAATCTCTTACCTTCGTGCACGAACTTTTCTCGCTCTGAGTTCCAAATGGGACTTTGAGCTCTGGTTTCCAGACCCTCTGCCTGATCCTCAGGGGACCTGAGCAATGGCCCCTGGGTGGTGGCAGCCTCAGATGATGGAGTGGCAGCAAGGCTGGCAGCCCAGGTGGGCTCTGATGGCTCCTTCTCTTTGTCCTGGGCTCCAGAGACACTGACCTATACAAAAATTTCAGTTTTGAATCTGGTGATATCAAGTCAAAAAAGCTACTTTACTTTGGGGAACACTTAAAGAAAAGTTTCTCCCCAATTCTTCAATATTAATTATTTCAATAAAAGCCCACGAAACGACGCCTCTCCCCTATGTCAGGCATTCCTGAACACCTAAGTTATGGATTTTCTGACCACCTCGTGGTCACACACATTTTTCCCACTGCCAGGCACAAATGCTTTTGTGCTGGGTCTTTCAGAGAGATCTACCTACAGGGTACAAAACATGTGAGTTTGGGAGGAGTTCATCTTCATCCTTTTCTTAGTCAGTTGTATGAAGAGGGAAAATAACCACTAATTTCTTTGACTTTTTTTTTTTAATGGCCTTTTCCTCTCTGTTTTCTAAAACTAGAGAACTTAACAATATATTCCAAAATATCTACCATGAACTCCACCAATGTTGAGATTGGGAATTGAAGTGACAGAGGACAATAATACTGTTAAAATAAAAATAGCGATCACTTCTCATCTCATCCTATTATCTGGACCCCAGTAAATGTCAAATGCTGCAGGATGCTTAGCTTCTCAGAAGTTCTGAGAAATGTATGCTAGCTAAGGGATAAAGGATTATAATTTCAAAAGCAAATTTTCTGAACTAAGATTTCCAAGTTTCATCTAAATTTATGATATGTAATGAAACAAGGAAGAAAATGTGTTTTGCTTAAAAACTTAAAAAAAAGTCACATCAGTTATTCTTGGCTACAGTTGCCAGGAGCTAGGACAATCCTTTATGGGTCTAATTAAGTTCTTTTTCTTTTTCCTTGGACCCCAGCTACATGAGGTTGAATCGATAATTCATTTCAGTCCTAGCACAGTGTGGTCATTTATCCTCGCAAGGCCCTCTCTTGTTTGTTTGCTTTTGTTTATTTATTTAAATAGGCAAATCTGTGAACTAGGTAAAGTCATTTTTGATGGCTCCTTACCTGTGGTTCCTGTCATCTTTTTTTTTTTTTTTTTTGCGTTACGTGGGCCTCTCACTGTTGTGGCCTCTCCCGTTGCGGAGCACAGTCTCCGGACGCGCAGGCTCAGCGGCCATGGCACACAGGCCCAGCCACTCCACGGCATGTGGGATCTTCCCAGACCAGGGCACGAACCCGCGTCCCCTGCATCGGCAGGCGGACTCTCAACCACTGTGCCACCAGGGAAGCCCCCCTGTCATCTTATGACCAAAGCCAGCTGTCATCATTAGCTGCTCTCTGCCACCTAAACTCTTCCACTGCTTTTGATTCTGTACCCCCCACACACACAATGCGGAAGAGCTAGCTAACTCTATTACTCATGTATGTATATTTTTACAATAATTAAATGATTATCAGAGCAAATATTTCCATTGGGACTGGTCTGGTTATCAGCCTATATAAAGGGCACTCAATTCAAATACAGTAGTGATGTTCCACTAACCCCAAACACATCTTTTGGTACAAATGGAGGTAGAACTCTGGGTCAGTTGGCATTCCTCTTTCTTTCAGAATGATCCTGTATATGCAGATGACGATTGAATGTGAATTTTGTTATATTCATAGAACTACAGAATTTTAAGTTTAGAGGAAACATTTATCAGTACTTCATTTTCTATGGAGGAATCTGAAGCTCCAAATAATTAATAATTAATAATCTAAAGCTTCCCCCAAATTATTGGTAAGTTAGTGGCAAAATTAGAAATGCCCTTTTCAGGAAAGAAATACTGTTTTGTTTTGTTTTTTTGCTTGCTCATATTTCATTTGAAGCAAAAAATAAGTTAAAAGAAAAGCTTGACTGAGGAGTAGCTTATCAAACATAAAAAAGACAACAGACGTTATGGCTACACTTGAGATATACTGTCAGGTGAGAATGTTCCTTTGAAGAACTTCACTGGGCAGCATGGTTCTCCTAAAGGAATTAACTCAGCCTCTAAATAACCATCTTGTTCAAGTCTTAAGGTCTCATAAGTCATTCTTTACCTCTTGTAAGTTTAGGAGTGTATGTTTTCTTTCTCAATCACATCATTATTTGGGAATTAAAAAAAAATAAATTTATTTATTTTAGGCTGTGTTGGGTCTTCGTTGCTGTGTGTGGGCTTTTTCTAGTTGTGGCGAGCAGGGGCTGCTCTTCGTTGCGGTGCGCGGGCTTCTCATTGCGGTGGCTTCTCTTGTTGTGGAGCATGGGCTCTAGGCGCGTGGGCTTCAGTAGTTGTGGCACACGGGCTCAGTAGTTGTGGCACACGGGCTCTAGAGCTCAGGCTCAGTAGTTGTGGTGCACGGGCTTAATTGCTCCGTGGCATGTGGGATCTTCCCGGACCAGGGCTCGAACCCGTGTCCCCTGCATTGGCAGGTGGATTCTTAACCACTGCACCACCAGGGAAGCCCTAATTGGGAATTTTGACTACTAGAACATTACACCTCAGGTTCTAGAACAAGTGAAATATTTTTTTTCATAAATGAGAATAATTTTATATTTTGGCTCCATGAGATTTCAGTTTATTTAAGCAAATACATAACTATATTATGTATAGTTTACATAATACATATTTATGTTATATATTATAGTTTTCCATTTTTATAATTTTCTTATTACAAAACAAACATGTTCATTGAAGGGAATTTACAAAATCTGGACAAGCAAGGAGGAAACTAGAAATCACAAGTGATTCCACTTCGCAGAAATAATTGTTGTTGATACTCAGGTGGTTTTTTCCCCAGTCTTTTTTCTATATGCATATATATATATATATTTTAAATTAATTATTTTATTTATTTATTTATTTATTTTGCGGTACGCGGGCCTCTCACTGTTGTGGCCTCTCCTGTTGCGGAGCACAAGCTCCGGATGCGCAGGCTCAGCGGCCATGACTCACGGGCACAGCCGCTTCGTGGCATGTGGGATCTTCCCGGACCGGGGCACGAACCCGCGTCCCCTGCATCGGCAGGCGGACTCTCAACCACTGCACCACCAGGGAAGCCCTCCTCTAGGCTTTATTATTTTATTTTATTTATTGTTTTTTTTGGCCATGCCACACGGCATGCGGAATCTTAGTTCCCGGACCAGCGATCAAACCCGCGCCCCCTGAAGTGGAAGCAGCGAGTAGTCCTAACCACTGGACTCCCGGAGAATTCTCTCCTCTAGGCTTTAATGTCATCATTTTACAGTAGGAAAAGATTAGCCCCTAACATACCTTCCAACTCTGAAAGTGGGATATAAGCCGCCCCAAACTTTACTGGCAGAATACACACCGAATTCATGACAGTGGCTGCTTCTGGAGAGAGGAGGAGGAAAGAGATTCTGAAGGAGAACAGCAAGGACTCTAAGTTTGTCTGAAGCAACAGTGATGAGCAGAGGGAAACACCAGTTATGTCTGGGTGGTGGGCACTCCAGTGTTTGCTATGTGCGTTCTCTGTTATTTTATTTTATTTTATTATAAATCTTAAACCTAAACACAACAGGCTGCCTATCAGCTCTGCACACTTCTGCTCCCCCCACACTGGCCTGCCTTGGAGGAGGTGAATGGCCCCAGCTCCGAGCAGGGCTCACACAGTAAAACACAGCAGAGGAGCCGGGCACATGAGGGGCCAACACCTGGAGGCCGGGCTGTTCCATGCAGCTGGACAGGCAGATGTGTTATGCTCAGTCCTTTCTAGCCTTTAGAGCAGATCTTTAAGGGGAGAAAACAGATTTCAAGCAGCATCCAAGAATGTGAGTGTATGACCTAAAGAAGGATAACTGAATAGGTGCCACACAGTTCTAGAAGGTCCTTTGGTTTCTGATTTCCGAACATTTTCCTCATAACTCATTACCCAGAACCTTGCATATATTGCAGACAAGCTCTTTAAACTTGAGCTCCCGTCTTCCCTGGATGAGTGCTGATGATCATGAGTATTAACCCATGGGCTCAGACTTAGCTTTTCCCAGCAGTGCACGGCCACGTTTCTCCCAGTCAGCTGTGGGGATTCTGCTCCTGCCAGCTGGGGCACTGCCAGGGCCTTCAAGGTGCCTGGCTTCGCAGGTTCTGACCTTGATTGAGGCTTCCCAGGTAATAACACTTCTTTGCCAGGTCTCTCAGCACGCAAGCACTTAAACTGAATGCGCTCCATTTGCATTTAAGGTTGCTGAGGGCTGTGAGGAACACCTTGAGTTTGGGCTGCACCTCCCCTGATCGCCTGCAGCTTTCCTACAGGGAAACTGCAGGATTTTATTCTGTCTAAACCCTCTCATACATTAGCATCATGTCCTCCATTCTGGCATTGCCCACTAAAGGTTTTTGACCATTCTAATCACATACTTTTACAAAAGGAAGAATATTCTGGTAATAATCCCTTATTTTACAAATGAGGAAATGGAAACCTTAAGAAACAGGTGATTCACCCAATGCCAGGCAGCTGTCAGATCTCATTTCTAAGATGTCATTCACTGTGAAATACACTATAAATTTTAAGTCTAAAAAAAGACCACAGCACGCTAAGCAGATGCATACCAATCTCTGAAACAATAAAGTAGGAAAAGTATAAATTCTGGAGACAAGGAAATAAAAGATTTAGCTTCAGCATTGAGACTACAAGCCAAGTTTCCTGACTTCCAGATCTGGGATAGTCTTTCTAGATCAGTTTGCAATATGTTATTTTTTTCTGCTCCCTAAGAGAGGAACATCTTACATTCTAAGGCTGGTAAGTCTATGATTAGCAATATATGAGGCTTCCACAGACACATCACCTGGCAATACTAATAATTCATTGTTATGCAGTTTATCAAGAAGAATTTGAGGGTTTTTTTTGACTACCACAATGAGAAAGTATTAATTTTACTTTATAAACAAATAAATTATTGTATTGACCAATATAACTGTATCTGTGTATGTGGCTTAGTCAAGGCCACTTACAAATAATTAGGCCTGATTTCAGGAAATCAGCTTAATTTTCATGTCAGTGGAGAAAATAAACTAGTATTAGGCTTAGTCCCAAGTCTTTTGAAAGCTTAAA